ATACTTTTTAGAACCAAAGAATGTTTCTTGCATTTGTGTGCTATATTTATGCAACATTTTTATATTTTTGAGAAACATCTCAGGCAATTCGGTAACTTCACATGCCCGTGCAACGATGTTGTGACCTAAAACAGCATCATAGTCATCGTAGACAGGTCAGGTGACAGTAACTGTATGCACACTTTTTGACCCGGTAAAGACCCTAGTCTATGGGCATACAGACAATTCAGCGCCTGTTCAGCGAAACAAGAGGTGATGCACTCATCATACCTCTTGCGTCAGGCCTTCTATTTCCGCGATACGCTCCAACACGGCATCTGAGCCGAAAGTGGCTTCTTGCAGTAGAAATGTCCTCCGCAGTCGGATTTCAACGTAGCCGGATCAGCACAGAATGTCGTCATACCGGACCAAACAAGCTCTGCATGTTTTTGACAACTCGTCATCCGGTCTGATGGCTAACAAATGGCATCTTAAGGAGCCCTGCTAACATTTTTACTGCCTCAATTGCTTGGGTTTATTCTCAATAAAACGCAAATTGGGAAGCACTTAATCACACATATAAACATACTATACACACCTACTAAGAAGAGCACCTTTTAAAAATAAATCTTGCATTAAAATATCCACCTGAGAGGATCCACATTTTGGTCCGGGCAGCCTGTCATATTTTGGGGATTCCGACAATGTACATAATATTCTCATGGTGCTGTAGCAATTAAAAGTATTTCGGAAACCCCTAATAATTTAAAAAACATGAGTGCAAATGCAAATGCGCCCCATGCTGTAAGCTTAAAGGTTGCTCTCCTCAATATCCTTGGTTTCATCAGTACTCATGACGGAATTTAAACCTTCGCCCTAGTCGAAAGTGAACAACACCACCACATTAGTCACATGGCACCATTGGGTGGGGCGAAAAATATAAAATTATAAGCAAATTAGACCTTTGTCAAATCACATCTTGTGCAGAGAAATTCAAACATGTCGTATGGTCCGTCGGGGATAGAGCCTAGATTTCTAAGATCTTAAGGGCTTGTTCTGCTTGGGGAGCCAAGGCCCACGCTGGCGATAAGCTCGGATAAAAATTGAGTTTCGAGGATCCGTAAGAGTTAATTTTAATGAAAAATATACTTTATTCTTAATTTCGTAATGGTTAGTGTCACTTCCAGTTTAACATCACTAGCGAAATTAATTCATATAAACATTCATCAGGCTGGTATTAGTCTCAACCAAGCGATAAGAAGCTGAAGTGGGCATTTATTGAGAAGATATAAATCTCTTTTTTTGGTTTATAGGTTACATCTAACCGTAATAAAAGGCACATGGGACACAGTTGACAAAGTCATGCTACTCGAAATTGAGTAAGACCCAAATGCCTAAAGACCATAAACAAAATAATTCTTAGATTCTGGTAATCGGAGTAATATCCTGAGCGCGTTCAGTTTCATCGGTGAACCTATACATGCCTCCCTCCGTCGTAGAAATGGAGTAGTGCATCTAATTTGCCTCTTATGTTGAGAAAAAGTTCAGAAATTATACCTTTTTTTGTTTGTATAAAACTGTTGGTCTTCACAGTGGAAATATTAGCATAAATTTATTAGATTTTATAATTAATTACACAAAAAAAAGAGCCTCAAAACGAGTCAATACCATTTGAAATTTTGTTTTTCTAGAAAGGTTTTGACTCATTTTTGTACTTAGTCAAATCCGGTTCAATTACATATAACCTATTTTGAAGAGTATTCAGCCTCATTATTTTCTTGGAACTCTCGGGCTGTCAATTTGTTGCTTACGCTGTGTATTTCGCACGGCTGTTACTTTGTAGCCGAGTGTGGCACGAGACAATCTGCACATAAAACTCGCAACGGTAAAACTGTGTTTAAAGATTTTTTGATGAGACGAGACATTTAAAGATAATGCTACCAGAATTTGATTGGATTTACCGTTGGTTAGAACACCATCATTCTATAATAGAAGCTTTTATTTCCAGTGAAGTGGGACATAGTTTAAGAACACAACACGTGCCAATACCACGTAAATATATGGATGTTTTGCTTTTTAGTAGGTGCATTATGATGCATATTTATTATCATATGCAGTCTGGTGGAGAAATTTGTGGAACCACTCTTTGAACGTTAGGGCATGTCAACAAGCCTCAAACCAGAGAATGAAGTAAGCATCTTCACCAGCGGAAAATTCCACTATTCAGAGATTTATCTGCACATTTTCAGATTACCGACTTATCAGCAAGCAACTATCCAACTAAACAACCAACCAAGTCTTGAGTCCCATACGGAGGCACTAAGGGCCCGGATAAACAGCGGGCCAAATCACCTCTCTTAGGAGGTCGTTGAAGCGATTAATTTTTCTTGTCCGTCCATAAAATGGAAAATTAAGCGGCTCTTGCAAATAAATTAGCAATTTTTGACATATTTGGGAATTGTTGCCAAAGCTGTAGGGAAGTTGAAAGAGGGCGCCTTCAAGAAAATTGAGAAGGGAAGTTCACACTTTGTCATGAGCATGGTCGGATTGTCCTCTTACCCCTCCCATCTTGAAATACTCAGCAAACCTACCACATTCGCTTCTTGGGCCTGAGTCTTGGGTATAGTATTTTTGAGGGTTCTGTAATTTGGTGAGCAGTTTATGCAGCCCAGTTGATAAACTGAGGCATTGGGTTAACGTAAAACTTTGATGTAAAAATAACGGCCACGCTTCCGGCTCAAAACAGCCAAACCAAAGAATTGGGAGACCTAGTCTCTAAATTTGCAACTTCCAAAATGTCTGTTCCTCTCAAGTGCCATGTAAAATCTCTCTTATATTCCTTCATGTCCGTTTATCATAAGTAAGTTTTAGTTAAAGAAAATTTATCATGGAGTAGCTCCCAACATTAGCGATTAGTGTTCCGGGATTATTTGGTGAAGTTTTGAACGAAAGCGTGAGGTTAGGTCTTCATCCTTTCCCCAGCATTTTTTTTAACCCTATGGCTTATGCCTGGGATAAAAGTAATATATTTTCACATTGGTTCAAAACGGGACTCGAACCTGAGCCTGCAGAGCCAGAGCTCAAATGAGGAAAGGTTTATGCCAAACCTTCAAGGCAAGGTATGTTGTTCACTTGGATTCCTCTTGATAAATCGACTGTGATTCACTGAAAGGCAACTTGGCAGACGCACAAGCCCCATGATTAAACAAAATTCACTATAATGCAAATGAGCTTTACCACAAAAAGCATGCTTGGCTTAAAACAACTCATTTAGCAAGATTGGCAGCTATTCTTTCTCTTGTATTACGGGGCGAAATATTTAAAGATGTGAAATACTTAGAGAACTATCTTAAATCAAGATAAATTTGCGCGTTTGGGATACCGCATTAAAAGAAATCAAGTCTTCACTTCGCAAATATTCAATACTCGAATGGAAGTATGCTTTTTACGATTATGCACAAATGTTTACCGCCAGGCTCTCAGGATAGGCGTAAGGGAACAGTACGAATAAAATGCCAAAGGACGTGCAAGTTGACAAGATAGGCCACATATCATAGCTTATCATCAGCATCCATTTATCGAAAGTTCTGCCATTCTAAACCTAAACAGAAGGTCGTCAGTTAGAAAAGCTGTCTTGTGATGGAACTTATCTTGTGACACAATAGGGCCAAGTTTGCGTGGCTAGGGAATCAAGGTGATGGCCCATTAGCTCGTTACTCGATAGTTCGAATCCCGCTGCAAACTAGATAAGAACGGGCTTTTGAGTTGCATGGAATGGTGAAAATGTATACTTAAATTAAGCATTATATTCAATCTTTCGAGAGAAAACACTCTATTCATAAGCCTATATCTTGACAATAGAAAGCTGGCACGCCTGTATTTGCATAACCGTGTGCTTAAGCTTATTACAGGAGGTATATGATTGGTCTGAATACTATAACACTGCGATTGTATTTTATCTAACTTCCTCTCTCACAAAATGGTATGTGCTCACTGGACATTTTGGTAAAGGCGCCCTCTATTTTACATATATTACATGACACTACTATCTTAACTGGTATGTATTGACGTAAGTCGAAGAAAGCACTAAAGCCCAAGTTGATTTGATGAAGAATTCCTTTTCACTTGGACGGTTTGGTATTCTTAGTAAGATCAGTATTTGGAATGTCGGCAGTCTTCAAAACAGCATCAAATGCAAGCTTTATGGGGTCACTAAAGCAGGCGGTGTCTGCGGTTTTAGCTACTAAAAGGGAAGATCTAAAGTAAACTTGTTTAGTGTCCTGTTTGAAGCAGATTTTGGCAGGCCAGTCATATTTTCATGTCAAATCTAATCTATATAAGCTCGAGTGAAAGTGATGCCTCACTGAGATATTATGCTCCCATGCAAATACCGCTATCAATGATACTCATGAAGGTGAATCAGGTTAACTATTTGAGAGAATCGAAGAGGAGACATAATTTTAAAAAGTGCGGAGCGTCCCGAACATAAACCAAGGGTCAGGGACATCCATTGCATCCTTCGTTTTCAGGCCACTGCCATGGGAGTAATAACCTGGGTTCAACTGATGAAGATACCAGACACTACTCTTAATGGATCAGAACACACGATATAACAAAAAGTATTTTCATGAGCCCTCTTTTTATTTTTATGGAATTAGGGGCACTGTCTGTAATTCCACAGCGAGCGTGGGCTAATACTACCTTTTAGTTACAAGATAAATACCTGAAATCCTACCCTATATTCGCAAATATTAATGAACCTTTTTTGTTTAGGATTACCAAAACTGAGTCTATAATATACGGATTGTAAATATCAGTCTACATTGCAAGCACGCAGCAATAAATCATCATCTATGGTGCAGATGAATGATTATGCTCATCCAGTAAATCGTTTTTACTTTATATTTATTCAAAGTAAGTAACTTTTTTTCTCTTGAACCTAACGTCCTCAGAAATTTCATTACGTAAACAAATGAAGCTATTATTGTTGAGTCTAATAAATAAATGATGATTGCTAACATTTATACTTTTTTTATTGAAACCGATTTAATAAAATGTATCTCTTCTTAAAATCATAGTAGTCGATCGAGTAGTTAACTATAGCGATGTCGAAGCTACCCGAGAAGCACTTGTAGGAGTAGAGACTCACGGTGTGCGATATGACTTCTGAAATTGCCACTTGATCTGCCCACACTGAATCGGCGACTAGGGTGGCTTTGGCCAAAAATCTTTTTTATATACTTTTAAAGGTGTAGTAACCTCCAAGCTTGAATTGGCTTTTGGCCTTAAGTAGTTGCTATGATATTCAACAAGAACACTTTGGCCGCATTTATAAGCTGGAAATGACAATGTTAAGTGTGCATCAATCATGATTGACCTGACAGACAGATATTCATTATTACAACCTAGTTCTAGCGTTTGCAAGTAATGTTTTGGCAAAACTTACAGCGTTTTAATAGTTGCCATTTTACGG